TATTCTATTCTATTCTATATTCTATTCTATATTCTATTCTATTCTATGTTCTATTCTATTCTATTCTATATTCTATTCTATGCTATTCTATTCTATATTCTATTCTAAAAAAAATGGAAAAGAGAATATAATGAAGGAAAAGAAGGGAAGGAAGGAAAGGGAACAAAGAATTACACTTAATATTGAAATGGAAAAGAATATAATGAAGGAAAAAGTATCGGAAGGATTGAAAGAAGAAAGGAAGGAAGGAGAAAGGAACAGAATTTACCCCACTTAATATTGAAATGAAAAAGAGAATATAATGAAGGAAAAAAGTATCGGATTGAAGGAAAGAAGGAATGAGAAGGAGCAAAGAATTACACTTAATATTGAAATGGAAAAGAGAGAATATAATGAAGGAAAATATCTGAAGGATTGAAGGAGGGAAGGAACGAGAAGGTGCAAAGAATTACACTTAATCTTGAAACAAAAGAATATAATGAAGGAAAAGGAAAGAAGTATGAGGGAGGGAGAGAGGGGACTTCAGCTCCCAGAAACCCCCTGGCTGAGGAATTCTGGGAACTGAAGCCCACACCTCTTAAAGCAGCCAAGGCTGAGAAAAAAATCAGCATTATGAACACAACCAAGCTCTGCCTCGCCATGTCAGCCCTGCTCAGCCTGCAAGAAAGACATCAGTTGCTATGGTAGCATTTGGCTATGCGCGGCGATGCTCTCCTGGTCCTTATGGGTGTGTGTGTGAACCGTGATGCTAGTCCCCTTGTGGGAACACAAAGGGTGGGAGAAGAGAACCACAAACTGAGAGTGTCCAAACTCCAGGATTCTGGAGAGGAGGAGAAGGGGGCTCAGCAACCACCAACTAAATGATATCACTTGAACAAAACGGATGGATGGATGGATGAATGAATGCATGCATGCTTTATTGGCCAAGTGTGATTCGACACACAAGGAATTTGTCTTGGTGCAAATGCTCTCACTGTACATAAAAGAAAAGATACATTTGTCAAGTGTCAAGAATCATCAGGTGCAACACTTAATGATAGTCATAGGGTACCATAAGCAATCAAATCATACTAGGAAACAGTCAGTATAGATCATAAGGATACAAGCGACAAAGTTACAGCCATACAGACACAAGTGGGAGGGGATGGGTGATAGGAGTGATGAGAAGATTAACAGTAATAGTAGTGCAGACTTTGTAAATAGTTGGACAGTGTTGAGGGGATTATTTGTTTAGCAGAGTGATGGCGTTTGGGAAAAACTCCCCTTGTGTCTCGTTCTGGTGTGCAGGTCTCTATAGAGTCGTTTTGAGGGAAGGAGTTGAAACAGTTTATGTCCAGGATGTGAGGGGTCTGTAGATGTTTTCACAGCCCTCTTTTTGACTCGTGCAGGATACAGGTCCTCCATGGAAGGCAGGTTGGTAGCCATTGTTTTTTCTGTAATCCTAATTACCCTCTGAAGTCTGTGTCTGTCCTGTTTGAGGGAGAATTTGGATTTGGAGGGATTTCAATCATTCTTGACTCAAAAAGGGAGACATTATTAAGCTGGCACGGAGGGGGATTTAGGCATTGTGGGGACATCTGAGGCCAGTATGAAAATTCATGCCGTCTCTTTTCCCCAAAGCTGGCAGCACGTCAACATTGGGCAAAACCAGGAGGGCAAACGGTAGGAACATGTGGTGCACTTTAGAGGCGACATCACTGGAATGTAGCATTAAGTCGCCCCGGTTTTTTCTAAACTCCAAGGAGGGCAAATAATAATAATAATAATGATGATGATGATGATGATGATGATGATAATGATAATGATAATGATAATGATAATGATAATGATAATGATAATGATAATAATGATAATAATAATCAGTGCCAGCTGGGGGCTAAGAAAGATGACATAGTGTACTTTGGAGGAGGGGCGACATCATTGGAATGCAGCATTACATCGACCTGGTCTTTCCTTAGCCCCTAGCTGGCATTGTGCCAGGCAGAAAGGGAATAGAGTTTATCTATCATCTATCTATCTATCTATCTATCTATCTATCTATCTATCTATCTATCTATCTATCTATCTATCTATCTATCTATCTATCTGCTGTGATGGCACAGTGGCTAGAATGCAGCATTACAGGCTAACTCTGCCCACAGCCTGGAGTTCAATCCTGATGGGGCACAAGGTTGACTCAGCCTTCCATCCTTCCAAGGTGAGTAAAATGAGGACCCAGATTGTTGGGGGTGTGTGTGATAGGCTGACTCTGTAAACCGCTTAGAGAGGGCTGTAAAAGCCCTGTGAAGCGGTATGTAAGTCTAAGGGCTACTGCTATTAACCGCTATGGCAAGAGAGGTCGTAAAACGGGACAGAACTCCCTTAACACATTTCTCCCTTAGCCTCATCAATTTGGGGGCTCCACTGCAGTCGTTAAAGTGAGGAATGATAGTTTAGTTTCCCGATATGACGAGAATAGAGGTGCAGAGATGGGGAGAGAAAAAGAGAATTCTTCACTTGACCCCCTTTTCCAAAGTCTTTTGAAGGGCTGTTTATTTCCTCTCTGAATCACCTGATTTTTTTTTCCCCGAACCGTTTTGGGACCGAGCCCCACCACGCACCCACGTCCTAAGAGGCTAGGCCTTTCCCATAAATGCCGTTGGAAACTATGCTGGCTGCCAAGGCTTTGCACAACACCAGGCTGTTATCCAGCAACATGGCCTGGAAAACAGTCAAAATGGGAGGAAAAAGAGGAAGGGAGGAGAGGATGTCGCGTCCATAGCCCGCTACATCCTCTCCTCCCTTCCTCTTTTTCCTCATTCTCCTCGCAAGGAGCCTCTGCAGACGAGGCTAAGCCATGTGGGAGGAAGCGGCCTCTGGAGGCTTG